GTATCTGTTTCTCACAGAGTATTACGTCACTTCACGTGAGACGGGTTGTGATTTACAGCTTGTGAAACTCCAATTGATTGATGATCAGATTCCTCCATCGTAAAACGGCGACGAGTTCGAGCGAATTTCAGAGACGTATATGTGAAAGACTCCCCACGGTGGACGGGTTTATCCCGGAGGCATATGGGTATAAAGAAATGGCCATGCTCAGTCTACCCCTTCGATTCACTGCCAGCAGTAATGTGGGGGGATTGCCGCTCATCTGAACGTTTATTAATGAAGTTTTGCCATGATATGAAAAACACAACTCGCATATCATTTCGCGGTAAATGCATGTGAGCAGGAAATTACGTGTAGAATTCGCAACATGGGGTAATTTTTCCAGTGTAATTCGCGAAGTATTTTCAATTCACTTCATATCGGGTTTTTCACCTTGAGTAATATGCCACTTCACGTGAAACGGGTGAGACTCCAATATGAAAATCACGTGAGAATCGCCTGGTCTCAAATCTTAGGACAGAACTTGAATCGCTCATTAGGAGTCACCAGACTGTTCTGTCAGAATTTTCCGGGCAATTTTTGCGCCGACTGAAAATCGTATTTATTGGAGTTTCCTCATTTTACGTGAAGTGTCATAATACTTCCACAAATGATGTGCAAAACGCGATATTCGCGATATGCAGTAGTCGCGAAATATGATTTCCACTAGTGTTTTTCATGTCACGGCTGGAACTCTATGGTACTATAGAGCATATCGGCGGCAATGTTGATTTGTAGATTTGGACGTCCCAGAACCAGTGCGAAGCGATCCCAAGTTCAAATATCTTGTCATGGACTGTAGACGGCCTGAGTTTGACAACCAGGAATCTTTATCTGAGATGGAGCGGGAGAAGCCGTGGGGTCCACAGTGGCAGTTTGGTCAAGGCACTTTGCCTTGGCTCGACTAGTTGTATTAGTATCCGTTGTTCAGTATCATTTAAGAGCACTATATTGTAGTAGATGCAGTACGTTGCAGTAGTTGTGGTATCCAACCTATCGGTTTAATATTCTTCGCTGTGTTTAGAATGCCATCGTTGCCGACTGGTTGCGTTGAGGAACACTCACGGGAGCGGCGATTCATCTAGCCTTAATAATGTTCCCTAGGGTTTGGAAACCACCATTGTTTGCCCCATTGTTACCAAACCCATTGAATTGGGAATGTGTTTTTAATGTGATAACATTCAAATGTGAGATTGATTTTCGAACCTGCTCCATGCTGAGAATCCAAAATAAGTTTCCCTGATCTGCGACCCTACGTGTTCGAGCCTCAGATTCTCTATTTTCTATAGTACGCGACATCCAGAACGCGCAATCCTTCTCAGA